AAACAGATTTAATATTAAAAAATAATTTTTTAAGTGAACAAATTATATTTTCACCTCCTCAATTATCACTCTTTTTTCACCTTGTCCCTTCAACTACGATATTTTTCACATTGTACCCTCATATATGTGATTAGTTTCACACTGGCCATATTATTAACGTCATTTACATATTTATCAAGAAGTTATTTCATTTTACCCCCAAACTATGTATTTTTTTAATTTTTTCCCGATACATCAACAATTCTCATCTAAAAAGATAATAGACATTTACAATTGGACAATGTAAAATAATCAAAGTAGTAAGAGATAATCAGGGATGACAGTGGATTGAATCAAGGGAGGGAGGTGTAGTTTCTATCCTCGTACCAGCTTAAAAAAAATTTTATTCATCCTCAGTCCACTCCTGTTAACGGGTATAACTTTCATCTCCATCTCCATCCGTGGGTAAATTATAATCTCCGTCCTTGCCCCTTGCCCCTTGCCCCATCCCCCGCCTTCATCCCCTCTCCCGCCCAAGCACAAGCCAATATAATCTAAAATTATAAATAAATTTAACATTCTAAATAATTCAACATAACTATAGAATATCATAACATAATTAAAAGTTTATCATCCACACAGCATAATTCAACATAATATAATTAAAACCTTATCTACAACATAATTTAACATAATATAACTCAAAGCTTGTCTCCCATGTAAATCCAACACAACATCATGAAACACAACATAATGTAACAAAACATAATCCAACATAAAAAAAAAAAAAAAAACATAAAAACATAGATCTACACTTTTACAGGCCAAAAACATGAAAAATAAAAAAACAAAATAATTTTAAAAAAAAATTATTCAATAATATATGCATATATTAAAATAACGAGTAAAACGGGACGGGACGGGGGTAAGTGTCAGTCCATTCCCACATGGGTCCACTGTTAAATACGTATAGTCCATCTCCGGTCCAAATAAAACAAGTTTAGATAAATACTCATTTTTACTCGGTATACTACCATAGGGATAATGTGAAAATAATATAATAAAACCCTTTTTTAAGTACCATAGTCGAATCCATAACAACTGCGTACACTATTCTAATAATAATACAAAAAGACAAAAACGCTGCAGAGTTCTTTTTCCAAATCCCATAGTAATACGAGGTTGGTGCATTGAAATGCTCGTCCACAAGCATAATTCAAAGTCTACTTTGGGATCTCATATGAATCTCTTACTTACGATTTTTCAAATAAGAACAAAATTTATGATTATTGTATTTAATAATGTATTTTCTTCAAAACTAAATTGGCTATTTGTATTGACGATAAAACATCAAAAGATATATTTTTCATAATGATGCATTAATTAGTAGTTTCACTTTTACAATTAATGTAAAGGATCCTATGTTCGAATTATTAAGTTGGTTTATCGTTGACCATCACATGGTGGCTAAGTGGCAACTCATTGACTACAATAAGAAAATTATGGATCTACATCTCAAAAGATACCTCTATCTTTAACTATCACATGCTTGACACAATGGAAACCCCATACATAAAATAAAAAAATCATCGTCCACGTCTCGAAAGAAACATCTATCTTTAACCATCACATGCTTGGGGGTGGTCCGATTGTATTCGGGCCCTGGGTGAAAGTTATAATTGGGGCGTTTTAAAATTTAATAGTAGGATATAACTGCTACAATTAAAATTTTGTTTAAAATTTTTTTTTTTTTTGAGATGTAAAATTACTAATTAACCATCCATACTTAAGTTTTACTATTATACCATTTTAAATATATGAAAGAGGGCAAAGGTGTGTGTGGAAAGAATTCTAAAAAGAGAGAAGTTTTGACCTACAAGCGGGACAGAGTGCGACCCTAAGTAATTGGGAGTTCTAGCTCATCTCTTAGGGTCCATATCGTCTGAAAACTTTTCTTGTTCCATTAGCATAGCTAAATTGGAATAGGATGACTTAGCATCAGGAAAAGTAAGTCCTCTTATCTTGATTGAATTTGACTTTGTTCAACCACTTGACGTCTATCCGATGCATCTGTTATAGTTATTTCGGGAGTTATTTGGGTTGCGAATTTGTCAGTTGGTTGATTCTCTAATTTATTCAATATATTTGGGACATAATTGATCGCAAATACGACTTCACTAGTTTTGATTTATTAAAAAAAACACCTTTTTTTTGCAAGAGCAATATTGCTTACATGTATCCTGAGTAATGTTGTATAAGTAATACACGCATTCAAAAAAAAAAAAAACCTAGTCTTTCTATACAGTTTAATGTTTTGATTGTAAAGTGTTTGTTTGTAAAACTACTATTATATATTTAGCTCTGCAAATAAAGTGACTTATGAATTGTCAAAAAGATGATCACATTTTAGAAAATTCTCAAGATTTTGGTAGTATGCATGAAAGTTTGTGAAATAAAAAGTTCTTTTTGAGTGACAAAGAATGAGAGAAATGTGGAGAGAGAGACTACTATGAAGATATCAATGGACTTTTTTTTTTGGACCAGAAGATGTTGAATGTAAGTATAAATTAGAAAAAAAAAAACATTTCCCACCTAGATATCCTCTAAATATATGGATCTCAAGAGACTATTAGAGGAAAGAATAATTAAATAAATTATGGGTTGTAATATACTTGATGGATATAGAGTAATTGTTAGCGGTAAGTCTTAAATTATTTAAAGTGATGAATTAATGCGTAAAAATGAGTTTAAATTCGTTGAGAGAAATATTATTGGTACCTAAAAAATTGACCTAATTTATTAATTTAACAATGCAATAGTTGATATGACCTAATATTATTATTCTAATTAACACTATAGAACTTTTTAATGAGGACCCTACGACTTAATATATCATCAGATCATTAAATTAGATCCAACAATATTACTCATTATTTAATAGGCTGACATAGAAATGTATACAAAGTTGTGCTCTACTGGTAGTTATCTTGTATGTCCTAAAAAGAAAAGACTTTCTATTGTGTGGGAAAATAAAAGGAAAAGTCTAATACAAAGAAATTCTCCTATATTTATAATTAATCATTAAACTATTATAAATATATGTACATTTACAAAGAAGAAGAAAAAAGATCGCAACATCTTATTGTACAAAAAATTACGACACTGTATTCTCTTATTTTATTTGAATTCTCAATAACTTTGGCCTATTTATCCAATTTAATTTTCTTGAATTATAATTTTTGAGATAATTTTGATTTTAATATAATCATTCACATAGTATATTTGTTTTGCAACTTATTTTAGACCTTAAATAGCTACTAAAATATAGGAATTTAAATATTTAAAATTAAAAACAAAAATAATTTAAGGCTTTGTCTAAAATTTTTGCCTAAGACCTCAAGTATTCTTGGATCGACCCTACGCCTAAAATCATGATCATCCCTGCAAGGAAAGTTGATTTGTGAAAAAATACAAAGCCTAAGATGGGTTAAATAGATATGTTATTCTTGAAGGATGGAGGACTAATTAGTCCAAACATTAATAAATTACCAATTTTTTTTTTTTTTTTTTTTTTTTGCATGCATGTGTGACCTGCCTTGCAAAACATCTTAACATTAAATAAGAAATAAAATAACAATTACAGAAACACAAAAATCAAGTAAAGTCAATACAATCGTGCCATTTGATGTTTCTTGGAAAAACTTACCTAAAAAAAACACATCAAATAACATATCAAATAAAGTCAATACAAAAATAGAGTAATTGGAAAACACCAAGAAGATTATGGTATCAAAAAATAAATTTCGGTCCAGTATCTCCAAGTTTTATAACTTTGGTGGGTTGAGATACACATTTTTAAGTTTATTTACAAAAAAAAAAAATTATAATTTTGTGGGTCATGTTACAACTATTATGACTCAAGTTATAATTTTTAAGGGTTGTTTATAATTTTTAAAAAGTTAAAATTTAAGTTAATATAGTCAACCATTTAACACTTAAATGAGTTTTTATACTTAAAAGGTTAAAATTTAAGTTACTATAGTCAAACCGTAAAAATTTAAATTAGTTATTGTGATTAAAATTTAAATGAATTATTGTACTTAAAAGGTTAAAATATTAAATTGACATGGGGTTGAGTTATTATGATTAAAAGGTTAAAATTTAAGTTTCTATAATTAAATAATTAACATTTAAATGAGTTACTCTTAAAATTTAAGTTATTATTGTTAAAAAATTAAAAGATTAAAATTTAAATAAATTATTGTGGTTAAAAGGTTAAAATATTAAATCGTAATATACACCGTCGAATCTAAACGATATGAGTCATTGTTTTGTTTTTCAAGTGAAAAGTTTAAACAACGGAAATATATATTTATTATATCACTAAAACAATTGAGACATAATTTAAAGATTTGAAGGTTTAATGTATGGTGATCATTAGATTAATAATGGAGTACAATTCAATTATCATAATTATTAAATTCTTAAACTATATCCCAATAACATTGCCCTTATTATATAGATGAATATTATCACAATAGATTTCTACATTATTTGTGAGCAAAAAAAATCATAATTCACACAAAATAATAAAAAAAATACAACTTGTAAATGCCATCATAAAAATCATGCACGAGAAAGACACTCAGACGTGCTGAGTTTATACAAATTTATTTTTTATAAATATTTTAATTATTTATATAAATAATTTATTTTTGACCAAATTATAAAAAAAATTAGTCGAGATCCGATAAATTCACTCGAATAACCTCGACGGTTAACCCCCAAAAAAAGACAGACACCATGCTTGCGTTAGACTTCACTTGGCCGTCTTCACTGTTCACACCACACTCAACGACGTATCCCAAGCGAAGCTATCTGTATCTGCTCAACACTTCCAGTTCCCTCTCCTCCCTATTTCCCCACCTCCGCATCGTACGTTCTCATTGAATTCTTCACCTCCCTCTCCCTCTCTTTCTCTTTCTAACACACATACCCCCACCCACCCTTTCTCCACCACCATGCAATCCCTTCGATCCCCATCACTCCGAGCCTCGTCAGTCAACCCACTTCGCAAACAGTCTCCAAACATAACCACCACCGCCAGTACCACCAGGAGAGTTTCATTCATCTCAGCCTCAACCCAACCCATCACAACCTCACCTCCCAAACGCGAAAAAGACTCCAAAAAACGGGTGGTCATCACCGGCATGGGCGTTGTATCGGTGTTTGGCAACGACGTTGACACTTACTACGATAAACTACTCAGCGGCCAAAGTGGTATTTCACCCATTGATCGATTCGATGCGTCTGAGTATCCTACCAGAGTTGCTGGGCAGATTCGTGGGTTCAGCTCGGATGGATACATAAATGGGAAAAACGATAGGAGGCTTGATTGTGCGGGCAAGGTCCTGCACTATAAAAAACAGGAACAGATCTCTTCCTTAGTGAACTTTGAGTGAGCCGGTTGAGTGACCAACCACGCCGCTTGGAACAGCCTGCGAGGTCAGGTGGTAACCTGGAACGGCAACGGGAGACCCTGGGTGAGAGGGAGGACGATCCAGTAAGGCTGAAAGAGGATCCTGGAACAAAGAAGAACAAGTTAGAAGAGCGCCGGAGTGTTTTTCGGCGTATCCCCTCCGACGGTCTAGTCAGTCTTTGAGTGAGAGAGAGGAAGGAGAAAACACTGAGAAAAATATATTGTAGTAGAGAGTTGGTGATTTGCATCCCCGTCTTGCCTTTTGCAAGGAGTATTTATACCTTAAAACCTCATGATTGCTGTCAGTGTGGTCAGTAGGTGATCATTAGGTGCAGGTTGCGTGTGTATTGATTCTGATGAGGAATGTCTTCTCTAATTAACTGCTCGGGGTCCCGAGCAATCAATATTGGATCATCGGGATGCCGATGGTACAATGTGTTCCTCTCGGGGAGGATGCAATAAATGCTTTGTAATAGGAGCATTTATTGCCTTTCATTTCCGAGCCTTACCGCATTGAATGCGGTCTCATCAACAGAAGGGTGCAATTTATTTGTTTGCTTTCCCAAGCCGCGTGTCAGCAACGGCGTGCAGCTTGTCTGTCTGATGTGACATCATTTGTCACGCGTCCATCCCCTATTGGCTATGACCTCTGTATTCCAGTATGTTCTGACATTACTTGTGTAAGACGAGGTCATGATGAGCAGCCTAGACTAGCCTAGGCTAGTGACCTGTACGTCAATAGCTTATCCTGGAGTAGAGGAAGCGTCCAGGACGGAGTAACTCTCGGCACCGAGGAAAGGCTCATCTCGGGGACCGAGGGAGGTATGCGACCGAGGTACATAGGTGACCGAGGACACGTGTTGTTGTATAATACACAGAACGCACGATCCTATATGAGAGTACCTCGGGGGGCGAGGACATTCGTTCGCCGATGGTGCTTGATCCAAGCAACAGTGTTTTAGCAAAACCGAGGACACGTGTCTTCATCATAGGGCATTTCAGAAGAGTCCCATCATTGATGATAGTTTGAGGTATTGCATTGTTGCTGGTAAGAAAGCGCTCGAGGATGCCGATCTCGGTGCCGAAAAAATTTCCAAGGTTTGTGAATTTTACGAACCATCCTGGAATACAGAGTCATGGCGAACCATTTGACGAACCATCCACACATAAAAGTCATGGCGATCCTTCAAAATCTGTTGGAGATGCTAAGTCGGGAAGAGGCGGTCCTTTTAGAACAGGATGCTCCCCTGAAAACTCTGCTATGAAGTCTGCCAATATTTGACCTTTTATTGCAGTACGGGGTTTGAAATGAATGTCGTGCTCCCCCAACTCTACTGCCCATTTGGAAATCCTTCCGGAGAGTTCCGTTTTCCTCAAAATTGCCTTCAAGGGCTGATCGGTTAGGACAGTGATGGGGTGCGCCTGGAAATAATGCCGCAGTTTCCTCGCAGTGGTGACCAAGGACAGAGCCAATTTCTCTAGGGGCAGATATCTTGTCTCTGCGTCCAGGAGTGCCTTGCTTATGTAGTAAATCGGCTTCTGTCGCTGCTCATGCTCACGGATAAGTACCCCGCTTACCGCAAACTCTGAAACTGCTAAGAACAAGAACAGCATCTCCCCCTGGATGGGGACGGACAGGGTTGGAAGAGTCCTCAGGTATTCTTTGATCCCAGCCAGGGCGTCCTCGCACCCCTGGCTCCACATATCCTTCCCAGCACTCTTGATTGCTCCAAAGAAGGATTTGCATTTATCCGAGGAGCGTGAGACGAAACGGTTAAGTGCAGCCAGCATCCCTGTGAGTTTCTGGACCTCTCGGACAGTGCGAGGGCTTCGGATGTCCAGGATTGCTTTAATCTGATCCGGGTTGGCTTCGATTCCCGTTGACTAACCAGATATCCGAGGAATTTTCCTGACTCCACTCCGAAAACGCACTTCGCCGCATTCAGCTTCAGCCCATACTCTCTGAGGGTGGAGAAGGTACCCGCTAAGTCTGTCAGATGATCACAACTCCGTTTGCTCTTTACCAGCATGTCGTCTATGTAGACCTCCATGGTGTTGCCGATCTGCTTTTTGAACATCCGATTCATCAGTCTTTGGTATGTTGCCCCGGCGTTCTTCAGTCCAAACGGCATCACTTTGTAACAATAAACTCCCTTTGGAGTGATAAATGCCGTCTTTTCCTGATCCGGGGCATAGAGAGGGATCTGATGATATCCTGCTCGGGCATCCAGGAAGTCCATTCGTTCATACCCGGCTGTAGCATCTACTAGCTGGTCCACCTTTGGCAGGGGGTAGTCATCCTTTGGACATGCTTTGTTTAGATCTGTAAAATCTACGCAGACACGCCATTTCCCCCCTTTCTTCTTTGCGCATACCGTATTGGACAGTCATTCTGGGAACTGTATCTCTCGAATTGCATCGGCTCTCAGGAGTTTGTCTATTTCCTCATTGACCGCGTTGGTGTGATGCGGGGCCATACGTCGTGGCCTCTGCTTTACTGGCTTGTGTGACGGGTCAACATGCAGCCTGTGAGTGATTATCTCAGGGTCTACTCCTGTCATTTCCATTTCGTTCCAGGCGAACACGTCTGTATTTCCCCTTAAGAACCTGATCATCTCCTCCTGTTCGGCTGCCGGCATCGAGGTCCCAACTAGGAAATACCTCTCTTCTTCTCCCTCGAGCAAGGGCACCTTCCGGAGGTCTTCAACCGACCGTTCAGCTGGGTCTACCCGGGGGTCATCCATCCCCGGACGCCCGGACTGTAATTGTTATTTTTTCATGATCTCTTTCGGTGCTCGCCCCTTCTCCTGGCTGGACGCCCCGGCCCGGACGGCCGAATAAAAACAGTTCTTCGCGGACGCTTGGTCCCCCCGGATCTCCATGATACCCTCGGGCGTGGCGAATTTTAACTTCTGGTGGAAGGTGGAATGCACCGGACCCAACGCATGCAGCCATGTTCCCCCCATAATCACGTTGTAGGGGGAGTCCGTGTCGATCACAACAAACTCTGTGTCGATGACGAAGGGACCAGTGGCGACCGGTAATGTGATTTTCCCTACGGGCAAGGCGAAAGAGCCGTTGAACCCGATGAGGGGTGTCCTGATTTTGGTTAGGTCTTTGGGGCCAAAGACCATCCGCTTCAAAGTCTCGAAGTACATCACCTCCGAGGAGCTCCCTAAATCTATCAAAATTCTCTTGACATCGAATTTCCCTATCTTCAGGGTCAAGACAAGGGCGTCGTTATGAGGAATCACCACGCCTGTCAAATTCGCGTCGGAGAACGTAATGCCAAGCTCACCCATCCTGGCTCTTTTACTTGATGGCCCCACATCACCCTCGCCTACCTTTCTTGTAAAAGCTACCCTCTTGAGGTCGGACTCGAGCTCCTTGGACGTGGGGCGCTCCAGCGGACATATATGGATGACGTCTATGACGTTGTCTGGTTCCTCGGTCGGGGCAAGGGCTCGTTTCTCCTCTGGCCTAGGCTCTATGTATTCTTTCAAATGTCTGTCTCGGACCAAGCTTTCCAAGAATGACTTGAACACCCTGCAGCTTTCGGTGCGATGCCCGACATCCCGGTGATATGAACACCTAACTTTTTGATTACGGGTGGAGGGGTCGCTCTGCATCCTGGGCGGCCATTTGAAGAACGGCTCCTGTTTGATTTTATGGAGCAACCTGAAGATGGGTTCCTTGAAGACGGTGTGAAATCCTCTGGAAGAACCCCCTGGATGGGGTAGCAATCCCTTTCGGGGAATATCTTCGCGCTCTTTCTCCTTTCTCTTGGATTGGAGGGCTCGGCCTTTGTTGCTTCCCATCTCGTCCTCGACCCTCGAGTACTTGTTGATCCGGGCCATCAGTTCCCCCATATCCGAGGGAGTCTTCTTGGTCAGGGATCGGTACAGGTCCGTGTCCCTCGCCAAGCCGAGCCGGAAAGATGCTGCTGCCATGACCTCCGAGCATCCCTCTACCTCATTGACCTCTTCCCAGTATCGGATGGCGTACTGGCGAAGAGTTTCGGATTCCCTCCGTCTGAGGGTCAACAATGATCCAATGTCCTTGGGGCGCTTACTCCCCGTAATGAATCGGGTTAGGAACTGCCTAGTCAATTCCTTCCAGGACCCAATACTGTTTGGGGGAAGCGTGTCGAACCATCTCATCGCAGAGTCCCCCAAGCTCATAGGGAAAACTCGGCATAGAAACCGTTGGTCCGAATGATAGAGGGACATCATCTGCTTGTATTGTCTGATATGGGCTTCGGGATCGGACCGCCCATCATAGGTTTTGAACCGTGGCACGACGAACTTTCTTGAGACCTCCATCTCACTGATTTCCCTTGTGAAGGGTGTTTGTATAACTTCGTCCCCGGCCTCATCCTGGACAGTCTTACCCCTTCTTCTGGAGTCTAATCGGGCTCTGAGATCGACTTCTTCCCTGACGGGATGCATTCTGAAGTCCCTGGGTTCATTGGTAAGCCCCTCGTTTCCTGGGCGTCGTGTAGATTGGGTTGAGTCCTCCTCGGATTCATCTCCCTTCCTCCGTCTGGACAAACCTCGCCGGAGGTCGTCCAGGGCCAACGGCCTCGCTCTCCTGGAATGGTTGTCAAGATGATGTTCGCCGGCTCTAGGTCGCTTCGGGGCCCTGGAGCTTTCTGCTTTGTGGTCTAGGTGGTTTCTTAGATCCTTTGTCTCCGCCTCCTGGACGGGGAGTCCTCGGGAAAGGAATGAATCCCTCGACCCTCCGCCTGATGCGGCAAACTCGTCGAGCCGGCTAAGGACGTTTACATTGTTCTTCTCCAGCTGACGTAATCTATCGCCAAATTTTTCTTCAATCACCTCTGCCAGCTGACGGGCCAAGGGGGCTGATCCTCCTGACCTGATCCCCATACTGGTTTGAGGGGTTACCCCCCTTGACCGAGTAGAGTCACTTTTATTCGTATTGGTGCGATCCCTCCCTCCGTGACGGTAGGGAGCTTGTAACTCGAGACTCGTTTGGTGGGTCCTTTCCCTTTCTGTCTAGTGTTTACCATGGTCACTGCTCTTTATGGAGACAAAACTAGGAAAACTAGTCATTTCCCACAGACGGCGCCAGATTGTGCGGGCAAGGTCCTGCACTATAAAAAAACAGGAACAGATCTCTTCCTTGGTGAACTTTGAGTGAGCCGGTTGAGTGACCAACCACGCCGCTTGGAATAGCCTGCGAGGTCAGGTGGTAACCTGGAACGGCAACGGGAGACCCTGGGTGAGAGGGAGGACGATCCAGTAAGGCTGAAAGAGGATCCTGGAACAAAGAAGAACAAGTTAGAAGGGCGCCGGAGTGTTTTCCGGCGTATCCCCTCTGACGGTCTAGTCAGTCTTTGAGTGAGAGAGAGGAAGGAGAAAACACTGAGAAAAATATATTGTAGTAGAGAGTTGGTGATTTGCATCCCCGTCTTGCCTTTTGCAAGGAGTATTTATACCTTAAAACCTCATGATTGCTGTCAGTGTGGTCAGTAGGTGATCATTAGGTGCAGGTTGCGTGTGTATTGATTCTGATGAGGAATGTCTTCTCTAATTAACTGCTCGGGGTCCCGAGCAATCAATATTGGATCATCGGGATGCCGATGGTACAATGTGCTCCTCTCGGGGAGGATGCAATAAATGCTTTGTAATAGGAGCATTTATTGCCTTTCATTTCCGAGCCTTACCGCATTGAATGCGGTCTCATCAACAGAAGAGTGCAATTTATTTGTTTGCTTTCCCAAGCCGCGTGTCAGCAACGGCGTGCAGCTTGTCTGTCTGATGTGACATCATTTGCCACGCGTCCATCCCCTATTGGCTGTGACCTCTGTATTCCAGTATGTTCTGACATTACTTGTGTAAGACGAGGTCATGATGAGCAGCCTAGACTAGCCTAGGCTAGTGACCTGTACGTCAATAGCTTATCCTGGAGTAGAGGAAGCGTCCAGGACGGAGTAACTCTCGGCACCGAGGAAAGGCTCATCTCGGGGACCGAGGGAGGTATGCGACCGAGGTACATAGGTGACCGAGGACACGTGTTGTTGTATAATACACAGAACGCACGATCCTATATGAGAGTACCTCGGGGGGCGAGGACATTCGTTCGCCGATGGTGCTTGATCCAAGCAACAGTGTTTTAGCAAAATCGAGGACACGTGTCTTCATCATAGGGCATTTCAGAAGAGTCCCATCATTGATGATAGTTTGAGGTATTGCATTGTTGCTGGTAAGAAAGCGCTCGAGGATGCCGATCTCGGTGCCGAAAAAATTTCCAAGGTTTGTGAATTTTTTTATGTGGAATCTTTGGTTAGTGTTTTTGATTGTTGAGTGGTTTTAACTTCAAGGTTTCGTAAGTGGTAGCAGATGTCTTTCAGTTTAAATTTTGATAAATTTTTAAGATCAGATTATGAGAATTTATCACTCTTAAATATCCTAATTGTAGTGTGAATGACTTATCTTTAATCAGATCAAGAAAGAGATTAATCAATGTACACAATAAATTGGCTAAGATGTGTTGACTATTGAACCAAAAAAATATAAGAATGTTGATTGGTTCTCAGCTTTTAGTGGTTTTGGTGAATTGAGTTTGTTTGTGTGGTTTATGGATTTTTTGGGTTGGTGGGAAATTTGTTCAATAAGTTTATGGGTTTTGTGGTAGATCTTATTTAAATTTAAGTTTAAATTTATATTAGTATTAAAGAAGCTCTTACACATCCAAACTAATGATCAAACAACAAATTTATGGTTCCAACCTTTGACGCAAACTTGTATCAAATCAAGAAAGATTTATTTTTTTATCCAAATCATGGAAAACTCAATTATTTCCTCAAATCTTTAACGGTAAGATTTCACATTATTTTAAAGATCCAATGATTAGTTTTACTCTCTTTTAAATTTGGATTTATCTTTATTTAAATTTGAGTTTGTCCATTGAATTTATTTGTATCAAATCTATCTTTTTACTCAAATATTAATTTAAATTTGAATAAAAAATTAAGTCATGATCAGAGATGCTCTAATGGTAGAAATAAAGCCGAGAAAATATTTATTGCAACACTTTTAACACGTCAATATTGTCACGTAATATAACTATCTAACGATAATTCAACAAATGAACAAACTAGACCCTCACTTTTAAATAAATACCCCCCTTCTTATCCGAAAGTAACCAATATACGTGAAAAAGTAACATTTATTTTACTTACTTCGTTATTTATTATTGGACAATTATACTATGGAACAATAGTAAAGTGTACATTGAATGATAAAAGTGGTTGCTTTACTAACTTACGGGGGGAAATTAACATGCATGACCTGAATGATAAGTTTGTTTGGTTTCATCTTGACAGTGTACATTCTATTCTATCCTATATATCTCTCAACTAAATTTAAGATATATTTTTTTTTTTTTGGGGTCAACGGTCAGCCATAAGACACTTTTAAATTGTTGATTTTCACTGCCATTATAACTCCAAGAACCCATAACACTTTAATCTATAATCTTGATTTTCCTGGGCAGACGAAAGTTGCAGATATAAGTTGTTTAATATTCTGCAAAACTTGGGACATAATAGCTTACCTGAATTTTTTCCTTGCCTAGTTAGGAAGTAAATGGCACTTTCTTCTTCTAAAGAAACAAAATACAGATGAAGGTCACCACCACTACCTGTTATCCTAAGTCGTAATTCCTATCAGTCCTTAGATGGGACGTGTGGGTATGGATCCTGGCAGGGAGATGGACAAAAGACAGTCTGTCCGGTGATTTGGTATTCGAATTTTTTGGTTTAATGTTTAGATTTAAATTTTTATAATTACGACAATTCGTTGAGGTTATATTTATTCTTCAGCACTGAGTGCACGTAGTGGGGTCTTAACTTCAGCCTTGATGTAGGTGCGATGGGGTCTCCTATAAATAACTGTGTGATGCTAAAGGACAATACTCCTTGACGAATATATGGAGCAATCGTACCGTACCAAAAAAAAAACTTCTCTAAGAAAATGAAACAAAGTGGCATATACACCAGGCTTATGAGGGGCAAAAACAACAAAAAGGGAAAAACCTTAACAAATTGACCATTTGAAAGCTCACACATATTAAGAAAATTAAATATGGATAAAAAAACTACATATGGCACTTGTAGATTAACTATTTATTGGGGAATATTATTGTCTTTATATATTTTCATGTGTTTTGTGTAATTACTTACAATTTTTATGTGGCTTGGTAAGTATTGTATATGTTTTATCTTGAGTAAATTATATGTGGTTCTTGTATCAATTAAGTCTCTGAACTTTTTTTGTGTCAATTGAATTTCTGGACTTTCTAATTGTATCAATTGAGTCTTTTTGTCTGCTTCCGTTGAATTTTCTAACGAAAAGTGGCAAAGGGTGTTACTCATGTGACACAAATAATTGCACATATGACCCTTGTATCGATTAAATCTCTAAACTTTTTTTTTTGTGTCAATTAAGTCATTGAACCCTCTAATTATGTCAATTAAGTCTTTTTGTCGTTTTGTATTATATGGTCACGTCTAACAGAGGTAAACAGAAAGCTCAGTTGACACAATTAGAGAGTTGAGGGTCGCAATTGATATGAAAAAAGTTTAAAGGCTTAATTGACACAACGATCATAGTTTGAGGGTCATATATGTAGTTTACTCTTTTATCCCACTTGATATGATGACCACAATGCGATGCTTATTAAATACTAGGCTAGTGGTAATTCGTACTTGAAAGTACGGTATAATGTGAATAGTTTTGATTTTTGAGAGATATATTAGTGGTCATTTGATAAGTTTATTTTAGATCATCGAATAAATTTATTAAAGTTTATCATGTTTTATATTATAAATTTGCAGAATCATTTGTCCTTGTGTTATTTTGCAGATTGCTAAGGATCGAGTTGGGGGTCTTGTTGGGACAGGGATCGGTGGTCTTAAAGTTTATTCTGAGGGTCGTGATACTCTCAAAGAAAGGGGTCATAGGAAAATGACGCCATTTTATGTACCTTATACTATAACAAATACGGGTTCTGCCTTGCTTGCAATTGATCTCGGTTTTATGGGACCAAACTATTCAATGTCAACTGCTTGTGCTACCGCCAACAAGTGCTTCTATGCTGCTGCCAATCACATCCGTCAAGGTGAAGCCGATGTGATGATTGCTGGTGGAACTGAAGCTGCCATCCTTCCTATTGGATTGGGAGGTTTTGTTGCATGCAGAGCTTTGTCTCAGAAATGATGATCCACAAACCGCTTCTAGGCCATGGGACCAAGATCGAGATGGCTTTGTCTTGGGTGAAGGAGCAGGAGTTTTGGTCAGCTTGCTCATTCTATTGATTTTTTTTTTTCTGTTATATGAGGTTTTAGTGTATATGATGTGAACCTTGTTTGCAAATTTTCTACACTCCCCGTAGATGATGGAAAGTTTGGAACATGCAATGAAAAGAAATGCACCAATAATTGCTGAGTACCTTGGAGGCGCGGTAAATTGTGATGCTTATCATATGACTGACCCAAGAGTTGACGGACTTGGTGTTTCTTCATGCATTCAGAGTGCTCTTGATGATGCTGGTGTCTCACCAGCGGAGGTACTTGCTTCCTTTCCTTAAATCAACTTTCTTATAGTACCATAGCATGTCTTTTCCTAGATGGTGTCGAATCTTGGATGCAGATTATTACTAGAACTTAACAAAATAAGTTATAAGAAAGACGGAATATTCTACAAAGAGGGGGTAAAACTTTAGTGAGGCCCTACTCCTTCAAAGCCACTTATATCAAACGTAACCCCCCCCCCCCTCTTCCCAACAATAATCCTAGCAAAATTGCACCTTACCACCACAATTTTGTGATGTGGAGTTTCATAGTGTTTTTAGCTCAACATTTCTCCCAAATCTAAAGAAGTTGGGTCTAAAATATGCATAACTTTCCAAAAAGTATTGCAGGATCTCCTTAAACTCCAATTTTATTGATACACGACATCTGTCTCGGGTTCTGTTATTATTGCAATTGAGCTGCCATGGGAAGGTGGTTGGTCTTTGACGGTATTTGAAAGCCAGCAAGCGTAACAAAAAAAATAGTCGTTTAAGCAAAGTTGGTGGTGTGATGTTCCCATCCTAGTAACCCTATTGGTGGATATTGCATAGTGGTGAGGTGTTGGTAGTGTCACTGAAAATCAAGGTGAGATCAGCAGTGACTAAGATCAATGACGGAGGTCATGATTTTGGGTGACACTGGTAACTTTGGTGGTGAAGTAACTGTTGGTGTTGATTTTTCTACGATTAGGATGGAAACTTAGTAGAGTTTGTAAGATCCTAAGCTGATGAATTAAACTTCTCCGTATTTCTTTGTCAGGTTAACTATATAAATGCACATGCTACTTCTTCTATAGTTGGTGACCTGGCTGAGGTGAATGGCATTAAAAAGGTACTCAAGAGCACATCAGAGATCAAAATGAATGCAACTAAGGTTCTCTCTCTCTCTCGTGCCAGCTTTTGTGCAGCATTGTTTATTTTTTTCATTGTAATTCTTGATGATACACAAAAATGGTTTTGTACACCACCTGTTAAGTGTAAATAATAAATGCAGTAAAAGTAAAGAGAGAATTGGAGAAGACAAGATATATAGTAGTTCGGTCAACTCGACTTACGTCTACTCTTGAATGACTTTCATTGTCGGGTACTTTATTAATTTAAGGGTGTGGAGACAGAGAATACAAGCTTCGAGGGAGAAGAGAGAGTCAGAGAAGGTGTGATGTCAGGCAATCAGTGTCCTCCTAAGTGTTGATGGAGTGTGCAATTTATAGTGGCTCCCTAACAGGTTGGGGCTACTTTCCAGCGACTAAGCAACCATTTCGGTGGAGCTACAATCTCTTCTCAACGAGCGAGGTGGTTGAGGAGCTCTCCATGAGACATGGTCAAAGATATGGTGAGGGTGGACCGTTTTCTTCGGTGGTGCAGATAAGGCTTCTCATGCTCTCCCCTTGATGACGTGGCTAAGCAAAGAGTCTAACTTGGTCTTGGGCTATGTTGGGCTTGGTGGATCTTTAAATGAGGTAGGACTTCTTAATTGAGATTTGGACTTTGCACATACATTGGGTCATTTTGGGCTTGACCCGTCATTTGCCCCCCAATGCCTCATGTTCAAGGAAAGCTTGGAGAATGAGGCATTGACTCTTCATTTGTATATTTTTGGCTTTGGTGCAAACTCCAAACCTTTCCCATTTTATTTTGAAAAGGGCCCATAATCTTCAATTTGGGCTTTTTCCCTCTTTTTTTAAAAACCCCTAGACTATAAATATAGTCTTCTTCTCCATCCTACCCATTTTATTGAAACTTTGAGATGGAAAAGTGTGTTCTTCTTGAATCCTTTCAAGAGTGGGATTTCTTCCTTTCTAGTAGAGTTTCTCAAGTGGGCAATGCCGATTGAAGAGGGAATGGTGGAGATTGAAGAAAGGGAGGAGGTAGGCACCATTTTAGGAAACTTGGAGGCTGGTTTTGACCATTCGAGTGCTGTCCTAGACAGCCTTGATGCCAAAAATGGTGGACTGGACAGCCTGGGTGCCAAAGGTGGTAGGTTGGACAGCTCAGTTTCGCAAACCTCTTTGCTGGACAGCACCTTCGCGCGAATCAGCGCGCAGAGAGGCAGTTTGGGCAGCGCAGGAAGACTGGGCAGCGCGCAAGGAGGTGGGTTGGGCAGTGTAGGGGAGCTGGGCAGCACGCAAGATGGTCTGGACAACGCAAACGCACAACTGGGCAGCGCTCCCGTGACACCTGGTGGGCTGGGCAGCGCTGTACAGGCTGGAAAAAGAGTTGTCTAGACCAGCAAGAGCACAGCAAGGGAGCTGGGCAGCAGCCTGGATGGTCTGGACAGCGCGCCTGATGGGTTGGACAGCGCAAACGCGCGACTGGGCAGCGCGCGTGTGACACCTGGTAGGCTGGGCAGAGCTGTGCAAGCTAGAAAAAGAGTTGTCTAGGCCAGCAGGAGCACAGCAAGGGAGCTGGGCAGCAGCCTGGGTGCATGGGCAGGTCTGAACGCCACTCCAGGTGCTGATTCGGGCATCGTAGGCCATGATTTTGGTGCCGAAAATGCTGTTTTGTGCAGTTTTGAAGGGTCAGGCACCCTTCTAACTACTGGGCAACTCCGTTTTGGCGAGCAAAGGCAGTCAGACACCCCCCAAGTGTTGGGCTAGACATTGCAAGCGGTAAGGAAGCTTTGGGTGCTGTTTTTGATGATCTAGACCCTACTATGACTCCTTCGATTCAAGTTCCTCAAGATTACTCCTTACAGCCCCGGAAGAAGAAACGTAAAGGCAAAGTGGGACTCAATGATGACGGGTCTAAATGAATACCCTTTCCAGTCTGTTTCGTTTAGATAAAGATATCTCGAGGCTTATTTTTACTTATCACATTCCTCCGACCGTGTTGTGCCGTCGGGCTGAGTTGGGCGAGCTTGCTTTGCGATGATTCTTCTGGTGATATTGTTGTTTACGAGGAGATGCTTGAGGCTGGGTTAAGATTCCCCATATCCTCTCCCATTTGTCACATTGTGCACTATTTTTCCTTGACTCCGGGACGACTAGCGCCCAATGGTTGGAGAGTTTGGCTGGGCTTTCTTGCATTGTGGAGAAAAGTGCACCATGAGGATGTTTCTCCTATGGAATTCCATGCAGCATACAATTTGAGCGAAACCCCTACACCCAATAGGGGGTGGTACTACTTTACCACAAGAAGTGGTATAGTGCTTACGGGAACGCGCTCTAATTGTGGCAGCTGAAAATCTTACTTTTTCTTTGTTGGTGGAGAGTGGGCTGCAGAAGTTGACAGAGCTTTGGTACCAACACATTGGGGTGCTGCTAATATATATATATATATATATATATATATATATATTATATATATATATATATATATATATATATATATATATACATGTGTGCTCACCTTTTCCTTGCAGATACGTCTGTGCTTTCTCGAGACCAGGAGTGAAAGTTGGAGGCTGTCAAGGCTTGCCCTTGCAAAGATTTGGGAGCTCTCCTGCCCAAATATACTAGGGTCGTTGCTCCCTCTCAGAAATCTGGTGATTTCTCTTCGAAGAAAAGGGGTGAGCTAGTTTCCTCTTTTAATTCTCTTCTTCCCTCGGTATTTTCCATTTACCTGACACTTTTCTGCTCTTGCAGCAAGTAAGAGGGTGATGGTGTCCCGTTTCTCTACTAGGAGCCCTCCCTCTTCCAAAGTGGCAAGGACGGATGATGCCCCCCAAGTGACTCCCACGGTGGTTCCTCCTCAGCTGGTGACTTCTCCAGTTGCTACTCCAAAATCTTCCTTGTCGGGCACATCCTCCCCACCTTCATCCCCTCCTCGTGCTACCCCTCATTTGTCCCCTCCTCGTGCGAGAACTTCTACAGGAGTGCCGATTTGGGCTGGTCCTATGATGGGGAGTCCGCCAGCCATCAAGGCAAGGCTTGGGAGGTTTGTGTTTGGACCCGAAGTTTCTCAACTTAGCGCTTCGAGTACCGATAGGATCGTCGATACGTATTTGGAAGGCCTGGCTCAGGTGAGGGTCCGCTATTTCCCTTTCTCCAGTCGTTTCCTGTGTTTTTGACTTTTCTCAATCTCTTATCTCTTTTTTTTTTTTTGTAGGTTTCGACTTCCTCTATCTGCTTGCTTTCAAGGGCCTATAATCAGGACAAGCTGAAGTTGGATCTCAGCCTTGCGCAAAGGGAGCTTCTTACTGCTCAGGGGAGGATTGTCAAGCTTGATTCTAAGCTTTTGGCGACCCGTGAGAGGGACGCGCTCCGGGAGGGTGAGCTTGTGGCGGCTCATGAAAAGGCTTTCAATTTTGAGTCTGAGCTTTTGGAGGCCTGTGCGAGGGACGCGCTCAGGGATGATGAGCTTACTGCAGCCCATGAGAGGGCAACTAAGCTTGAGGCTGAGCTTCTAGCGGTCCGCGAGAGGAACGTGCTCAGGGAGACTGAGCTTATAGAGGCCCATGGGGGGGCCATGCTCAGAGAAACTGCTGTTGCGGAGGCAAAGTTGAAGGCTGCTTGGGAGAGAGTTTCCTGTGCTGAGGAAGACTTAGAGAATGGTCTCGCAGATGCTTTCATTGATGGTTTCAAGGATCTCCGAGGGAAGGTTTCTACCGTTTTTCCTGACATTGACTTTTCACGTTTCGTGCCCACTAACGACAGTGATGAGAGAGGATCTGATAATGTTGATGACGATGTGGAGGAGGTAGAGGACG